TTACGTCAGTTTTTCGAAGCACAACCAATTTTTTCCATGAAATTTTACGATGGCAGCAAAACGTCTGTTCAATCTTTAACTGCAGTTTTCTCATTGTTGTGTTTTGTAACATGGAACAGTTATGCTTCCACCGGGAGTTATGCCTATTTAAAAATTTGTCCATGAAATGATTGCAATAGAGTCTTAAAATAATTAAAACTGAAACTTATTTGAAATCAGACTTAGTAGAATAAATCCACGTGAAAGTCACCCAAAATCTGAAATGCAAATCCGTGAAATCGCTAAACTCGTGTCATTCACACGAACGTCATTCGCTAAATTAAATGCAAACAGTGGTCAAAAGCATTTAAGGTAAATCGCTGTGGAAACCCTATTTCTGATCAATCTCCTTACCATCTCAAAATTTCTAGAGCACAAATATCAGCTCTCACAAAACATACAACAATGAAACTGGAACTTCACGTTTGCTGCAGTGCAGTACACAGGGAGTTCCAATTTAATGAGCTATGTCAGAACAGCGTCCAAGATTTGTGCTCTTGAAATCTTGAAGTGATAGGGAATATCAGCCATCATTACGCCCACTGTTGAACACTTCAAGAAATCACCTTAAAATGCATCAATGTTCATCTGGTTTATCTGGACGTTTTGAAATGAACCAATTTGTCAGATAAGCTTACGATCGCTTAAACTTCTTTCAGTTAACGGATTTCAGTAATAAGTCTTTCAGTTAGCGAATGTCTAGCGTAGTTTCAATCCAGCATTTTTTGAAGATGGCTGCTGTAGAAAAAATTTTGTTTTAAGCAGGTCAAATCTGTTTTTGGATATTAATGTCTGTATAAATCTGTAACTGTTTGTAAGAAAATTTGAACATACTGAGAGGTAAGCAAATATCATCGGTAAGAGACGTGTGCGTGTGAAAAAATTTGCGAAAAAATCTAAGTTTTCTCTCACACACACGTCTTTTACCGATATGTGCTTACCTCTCAGTATGTTCACATTTTTTTACAAACAATTAAATTGACTGCAAGTCGCTGAACCATAAATCTAAATCTGTAACTTTTTACCTATGTCCGTATAATGTCTGTACTCTGTATGAAGCCTATCTGTATGATCTGGCATCCCTGCTTGGTGTGTACCTTTGATAATGTTGGTGTGATGGTATATAGGGGAATTTACGTATTTTCGTCAATCTAAGCAGTGTCCACACTTCTATTAGCATTTTCTCAGCGTCTCGCACATATATGACGTGTCTGTTGGTTTACATTCATCTGCTGCTTGCTTCTCTATCCATTTTAATCGACAGAATTCTTCAAAACTGTTTGAAAGCGTTTTTACAACGCTCCAAACTTCTCAGGTGAGTGTGACTATTGTCGGCAGCCTCGTTTTCTTCGGCAACCTTCCCATTAGAACTGCGTGTTAACCAGCTGTTCTATTATCGGCAACTTGAAATCAACCCCATTTTAGAGTACGTATGCTTCATTTGAAGAAAAATCTGCCATAACAGGACTGCTCAGACGTACACATACAATCAGATTGAAGCTGAAAGACTAAAGAATCGGTTGGATGCATTCAGGGAAGTGTGTTGATGGGAAAACATAGTGAAATTAACGTTTAAATTTTGGTTGCCGAAAACAGTCAATGGGTGCCGAAGCCGACATTTACCCTATTTCGTTGAATAATACAATACGCGGTTCATGGTGATGATTAATTTGGTGATTCATTAGTATATCGCATGGAAAGAAATAACCACTGATACAGTAAATGAACTGGTTGATGACTTAGCATGTGATGTTTGACAAATTCCAATAAATTCAAAAATGATAACTTCCTCCTTAAAATCAATTGTAAGGGAATTAAGTTTGTTTATATAAATTATAAATTATATCAGTGAACAAAAGCAGATCTATAATTTTGTCTCTGATGGATTACATGTGGATGGGACTTATTTGCGGTAACTTTGCACGATAGTATAAACTGATATGAGGTAACTGGTATTTGTTATGTTTTTCTTTGTTCCTGGAAAACATAAAAATTTAATTTAATCACACAATAAAAATGTCTAGTGTGAATAGTGGAGTTTTTATTATTATCGAACAGGTTTGGGCCGAAGGACCTCAGAATTTTAGCAAATGTTACCCACAGGTAGAGTTTATGATATTTTCCCGTAACTTTTGAAAAGGGCCTATCCTCGTTGATCGATTCTCTTCATCGACTTTCTCTTTGGTTTACCACGGCAACATAAACGAATTTCTCGCTAAGCTCACAACACAGTTCGACAGAAGATGATGTTAGCTTGCGCCTGAAACAGCACACTCAATGGGTAATTTATTTGCACTCGGGTTATTCGCGAAAGAGAAAATCGATGAAGAGAATCGATCAACAATGATAGGCCCTTTTCTCTTGTTGTGCGAGATTTAGCATTGGCTAGCATCGATCAGGTTGCACAATATCGTAGGTGGTACGAATTCAAAACTGTTAAGCGCCCATTACATGTATCAATTTATTGACAAACATCGTATTGTCAATTTTCCTTACAATATTATCAATACATAAATATTGACAACATGAATGATAACACGCTTGAGCGCTCATTACACAGATCAGTATATTGACAATATATTGACATACTGGCAATATTATTGAAAAGGTAATATTGATGACGATGGATTGCTGACGAGTATTGTTGAAAAAGTTATTTGCATTTCACTTAGGCTCTGAACCATTTGGTGGATTATTTTAACTTTTGGTTAAAATTTGACAGATGGAAAGTTATCGATTAACCCTGCTATCTGAGCATGGTTATTTCTGACAGACAAGAAGTTAAATTTTGACAACCGTGGCTCGAAAACCGGTCGAGCGACAGCACAGGGATTTTCGAACATAGAAAATAACTTTCGAAATGTCACTTTTAACCACGAGTTAAATTTAACTCGGCAAATGGTTCACAGCCTTAGTCAATATTCTTCCCCTCCCCAAGAGGAGGGAGAACGTACGTCATTTAGATCGACTGACTCACAAAGCAGCTTCGTGCATGCAGTGTTGCCTTTTGTTTAAATCTTCTTGTGTGATATCAAATCGATTTTAAACTAAATAAAAAATGCGAGGGCGACACATCTAAATCTCAAGTCTAGATGCTCAACAAATCTCACACTAGCGAATCAATCTTCGAAAAATCTTCTTTCATTTCTCGCATCTACTTGCATCGCGAATCATCTTTTTGCAGTAAATCTTCAGAATCGTCATAAATCTTCTTTCTATCTACTCAGCGTGCGCACAGCTAGCCACAGCAAAACACAATCTTTTCTGCATCTTAGATAGAGTCGTCTCCCTCGAAAAAATGTATCTTTTTACAGTCACCGATCACCCAGGCTTCGTTTATATGGATGTACATTTTCTACAAAATCACAAGCATAATCATGTTATTTTTTTACTTTAAAATAAAATAAATACTACCAGCGTTTCACATACTTACACGTAACGTAAATTAATTATTATATGCATGATTTTCATTTATGAATGTTTACCAAAACATCAGCATGATAGTTTCTATTTGGGAAACTGCGTACCGTGAACGTGGGTTATTCAATTGTAGTAATTCCGCGCACTCGACAATCGATTTGATTAAATTCGAACTATTTGGAAGTACATGTCATGTGATCTGTGGTTCTGTGCATTTTCTGTGTCCTGTCAAACAGTTACAATATTTGGAATAGATTCTTATTAAACACTATTTATTCTAAAAATCCTAAAAATTAATATAAAATGTGCAAGTATACGTAAATGTTGGGTGAAAATTGGTTTCTATATATATCTTCTAAACCAGGACTCCACTGTTTGGTATTTTTTTAACTACGGAATTGTTCGGTTAAAATTTACAAATCAGTGAAAAAATTAAAAATTTGGAAATTTATCCCGAAAATGTACGGACTAACCCCATTTAATGATACAAATCAAATTTGTCGATTTTATTGATTTCCTTCGAGTAGCGATCATTAGAAATTTTACCAACTTTTTCAGCTGTTCAAAAACCCGGCAAAACTTTGGGTGAACCGAATTCAGTGTGTAGCTAGTATTTTCTATACATACAGGTCCAGCAATCGTTTCTGTTTGGACTTGAATGCAAACATTAACTCTAAACACACTTTCTTTCGCTGACCCTAATAAAAATTGTATGGTTAATTTGCTTAACGACGTGTTCTGGGTATTATCCAAACCATTTATGGAATAGTTCAATGATTTGGGTTATCGTTCGTTTATGGTTATTTTTTATTAGGGGATCCATGTTTCTTGTGTGGGGAAATTGAGACAGATAATATTGACATTAATACATGGAGGTAAAAAGGCTTCTAACGTATTGCCATTAATGTTGTCAATATTCGTATATTGATGATATTGATGGCGAAATTGACTGTTTTTTGTCAATTCATTCTGAGTATTGACAAAGTGAAAATTAAAATCAACTTTTCGTCAATACTTGTCATCAATCATCGTCTTCACTATCACCTTTTCAATAATATTGTCAGTATGTCAATTTATTGTCAATATATTGATATGTGTAATGGGCGCTTTAAGAGCAAGACGGACATCTATTACTCGACAGATAGTAAATAGTAAATAATTACTATCTCCCAGATAAAGACATATCCCTCTCCAACAGAGCCATTCGTTTCAACGCTTCGCTCACTTCTTCGCTTCTGTTCGCTCTCATTATGGCGGCGGCCTTACTTTCGAGAGGAATCATAAGAATCATTCCGAAGAAACTGGCCAAAATTTGTCCAAACTGAAAGAACTTTAACTCTCTTTCTGTAAACGTAAACGTAAACTTTATAAAAGTATCTGATGGCGTCGCATGAGTCACGAGTTGTATCAGATTTGTGTATTTTTTTACTATCTCAGAAATACTTGGAAATTGAAGAATGCGTCCAAATACATTGAAATTTGCAATGCACATTGAACGCAGCCTCAAAACCCTTGCAGCAAAGTTCACATTGCACACTCACCTTTCATACTGGTATCCGCCGCGTTCTTATCCTTGGCCGTAGTATCCGCACTGACAGTGCTTCCAACGGCCGGCTTGGTCGGTGTATGTCCCAGCGATTTATTCATCTGCTCGGCGGACATAGGCGTTCCCATATGGGACAAATTTCCTCCGCCGGCCTGAGACGATGTCATCGGAGGCTTCTGCATGGTTACAGTCAAGGTAGCCGCACCGCTTCCCGCACCACTGGCAACCGTACTGGATGACGCCATGGTCATGGTACCACCAGACGAAGCAGCTGAAGCAGCAGCAGCCACCGCCGCTGCCGCTGCTGCGGCATTAGCAGCATTCATACTCTCCAGCATCTGTTGATGTTGGATCTGCTTCTGTGGAGTGGATAGGGTCTGAAGCTGAAGCATGGCAACGCTAGCAGCCTTCAGATCGGCACTTTCCTTCGATGTAGTTGTAATGGACGCGGAAACAACCGGCGGTTGGTTGATTCCGGCCGAGGTCGTTGTTACCGAAGTGGACGAAACGGGAGTAGCAGTGACGGAGCTCGCCAACATGGATGCAGCCGAGAGCGATGTCATAGCAACAATCGGATTTTGGGCGTTCTGTTGTTGCTGAACGGAGGTCGGAATCGTGGACACCAGGATTTGCGACGGCTGGTGAGCTCCGGTGGGTAGTTGATTTCCGGCGTTGTGACCTGCTTGAGCTGATTGACCTTGGTGATGGATCGGAGAGATCGTGGTTCCATTGCTGGACACGACAATCGGCGCCGAGCCCATACCGGCGATGGAGACCACCGGAAGGATGGTACGTTCGATTTGCAAGGTTTGCGACTGGGCAGCGCTAGTGCGATCCGTTGCTTGCGGTAGTTGATTGGTGATGATCATCTGGGTGGTTGCCTTCTGCGCTACGGCCTGTGCTTGTTGTTGTTGTTGTTGTTGTTGATGGTGCTGTTGTTGTTGTTGCTGCTGTTGTTGTTGCTGTTGCTGTTGGTGTTGTTGTTGTTGCTGATGTTGATGATGTTGGTGCTGTTGGTGCTGTTGATGTTGTTGATGTTGTTGTTGAAGAATCGAGTCGGTGGAAGTTACGTTGATCATTGAGATGCCGGTTTGATTCGGTTGGCCCTGCTGCTGGAAGACAAACTGTTGCAGGATGTTTCCCTGCTGAGTTCCGGTGGTTTGGACCAGTTGACCATGTTGAGTCTGGTTCGATCCAGTTACGATTTGGTTGGCTTGGTTTTGCTGATTGGATTGCTGGAGGAACTGCTGCTGCAGTTGTTGGATTTGCGTCTGCTGGTGCTGTTGCTGCGATTGTTGTTGCTGCTGCTGCTGTTGTTGTTGCTGCTGTTGCTGCTGCTGCTGTTGCTGGAGGGCATGTTGCTGTTGGAACTGTTGAATTGCCTGAAATAAATAGGGGAATGACCAGAGTTTTTTTTTTGCGGTGAGATGGAAACGTGGTGGTCGTTGTACCTGTTGTTGCAAAATTTGCTGTTGCTGTTGCTGTTGTTGAGCAGTCTTGATCTGCTGCTGCAATTGCAATTGTTGCTGTTTATCCGTTGGCATCATTGACTGGATATTGAGTACGGGTGATGAGCTAATCTGACCAGTCGTGTTCATGAGAACCATTCTGAAAGTATGAGGTCAAATTAGAAAATACGCCTGAGCGGTCGTTGCAAAACAGATCTTACTTTGCACCGGTGGCCACGACCTGTTGCATCTGCTGCGGTTGACCGATCTTGGTCTGAGCTGTGGCCATCTCAGCCGTCTTGATTTGGACGGGACCCGAAGGACGAACCGGTTGCTGCTTGGTACGCATCTTTCCGCCCTTGGCCAGCAGGTTCTGCTGAGCCTGCACCGTCTGTGTAGAAGCGGACGGACGAATTGGTGAAGCTCCTTGCGGAAGGATTTGCGGTCGCTGGGCTTGCTTCGGTGCCAGGTGGCCAGCGTTTTTCTGCTGAATCGTTGTCTGCGTTGCATTGGGCGATTGGTTGACCACCGTGGTTTGCTGTTGAGCAGTGGCATTCTGTTGCTGCTGATTGGCATGAGCTTGTTGTTGCTGTTGTTGTTGCTGCTGTTGTTGCTGTTGTTGTTGTTGCTGTTGCTGTTGCTGTTGTTGCTGCTGCTGTTGCTGTTGATTCTGTTGTTGCTGGTTAGCATTCTGCTGCTGCTGCTGTTGTTGCTGTGTCTGTTGTGGTTGTTGTGCAATGGTGCACGGCAGTGTTAGGGTTTCTACAAAAAAATTGGTTAGTGAAATGACGACTTGCCAGAGAATCAAACTTACGATTATGGGTTTGGGTAGGTGCTTGCTGAATAGCTTGCTGTGGGCTTTGTTGGATGAACATGTTGCTGCTTCCGTCGGGTGCAGTTCCACGGAAGATAATCGGATTGCCGGCGAGGATTTGCGGTTGAAGGCCATTAGCCGTCCAAAATTGTCCCATTCCCTGAATCCACGGAGCAGTGAATTGCATCTGCTGGGCCCCTTGCTGCTGTAGTGGGCTAAGGAGCTGCGCAGTTGGCATGGTGGCTTGCGAGACTTGAACGCACTGTTGACCGGCAGCTGCCTGCTGTTGCGTCAGAGTAGTTACACTCTGCTGTTGACCTGCGGCTGAGATGCTGGTGCCAATTTTTTGCAACTGAACCTTGGGTCCTCCGGCACCAGCTGCTGCAGCTGCGGCGGCTACCGTGAGCTGCTTCTGAACATCCTGCTGGTGAGAATTAGTTTTGTTTGAGTTAGTGCTCTGAGCGGCACTAAGACCTGGTAGGATATTCTGGGTTTGCGACTGAGACTGAGAGCTGAATACACTTACGGGACTAAACAGCAATGTCTGGGATTGGCTCGACGGGATGGTTGGAAGGGCGTAAGCTCCACTGAAGTTACCAGCTCCGGTTCCGATAACTTGCTTCCCAGAGGTGGTCGTCAGCATTTGGGATGTTCCTTGGAAAGGTTTGGGAGCAGCGATCAACTGTATCTGCTGCTGGCCACCGATTCCCGGATGCAGGAGAAGCTGTTGGGAACCATAGAGCTGCTGGAGATACTGGTTTTGGATGGGTTGTTGGAGCACTTGAACGCGCCCATGGGGCCAATCAGCGGACAGTTGTTGACCAGCAGCCATTGCCTGAAGTGAGGACATTGAATTAATAGTAGCGGATTGTTGTTGCTGCTGTTGCAGGATTTGAGAATTTTGCGTATGGTGAGGACTCTGTGGAGGAGCCCCACCATCAACCTCTAGGACCTGCATGTGTTGCACCTGTTGCTGTTGCTGCTGCTGCTGCTCAAGCCCGCCCGTGGCATTCGTCTGCTGGGGCTGGGGTGGGTTGTACTCCTGCTTAACCTGGATCGTAGCAGCACCGGCCGTGAAGGCCTGCTGAAATTGCTGAAACTGTTGGAATTGTTGAAGCTGCTCCTGGGACAGCTGCAGGGGCACCGACGTTTGCTGTGCCACCTGCGCTGGACTCTGTGACTTCTCCAGTGTCGGGGCCGGAAGGTCGTACTTCTCGTCGAAAGTGATACCGGCCTTCTGGGCGAGGGTTTCCAGGCACTTGAGTGGTCTCTCACCGGTAGCGGCGGCGGAAGGACCAGTGGCAGTGGTGTTGGTAGTGGCTGTCGAGCTTCCCGATGCCGATGGAAACGGGCGGATCGAACGAAGATGCGAAACTGTCGAAGGACTTCCACCGGTGGTGGTGTGAGGCGATAGCTGACTCGGAGCTGTCGATGCAGCTGCCGGGGATTGAGCTCCGGTTTTGATAGGCCTAGAGCCGCCTTGCTGCGCTTCCGGTTGTTGGTTACGCAAAAGTTCGATCTTAACGACAGAGGATTGCTTCTGACGGATGTTGGAGTTGTCCTTCAAAGGGTGCTGAGCCTGCTGAAGATGCTGTTGTTGCTGAGGGGAATGTGGATGCAGCGACTGGTGAACAGGCTGCCGGAGGTTGTTATTATTGTTGTTGCTGTTGTTGTTGTTGAGCTTTTCTTCTTCTTGCTTCTGGAGATTATTGTAATGTTCCGATCTGAAATTGGAGAAAGAAAAATAAACGAACCATTAGGACAGGACACGGTGGAAAAGTAGATTATCACCATAGCAATGATACGGAATCAATTCAATTAGGGAGAACAGAACCTTCCATTACGTTGAAAGTGGGAGAGAGATTTGCACAACATAAAAGGAATCCCTCTTCCGGGTTGGGAGTGGCTACACGAGGCTAAAACCGAAATTTACATCCCAAGCGACACACTTCACTAATTGGCCAAACTTGGTGCCAGGGGACGAACTTGGCTGGAATCCATCTACCAGGCAAGAAGCCATCGTTAAGGGACATTTTCCGACCACCACCACCACCACCATCGCCCAAACTTTCAAAACAACCTTGAAAAAGGAGTAAAACAGAATTTATAGATTTGTCAAGATTTATGGACTTTCTACCAGGCGCGCAAACCGAGCAGGAGATCGATGGGTGCCTACTACAAACACAGTTGCATCGTCCTGCTTCCTCCAATCCATTGGATGGGAAAGCAAAGCGAACGGCAACACATGTGCAGCAGCAGCGGATCGAGCGCACATTGCGTTCCACCCTAAATTTCATCCTAACGGGACATTCGCGCTCCCTCGCCTTCAACATCCACATCGGGAGGGAAAGTAGAGATAGGTGCCTTCCTTTTGTTGTTCTCTACGCCGGATTCGCCAGCAGAGGGGACAAACTTTTTGCGCCGGATCCTTTTCCGATACAGAGCAGCGATACCGAACGGAAGGATGTCTCGAGGACTTTCGTTCGAGGGATAAGGCAAGCGCCCATTTGTGCTAGGGTGCGTGTGAGTGTGTGCGTGTGGGAGAAAGAAGGGTAAATATTGAGAATTTTAATTTAAAAGGATAAGTTTTCAATTTCCTCCGGCACGGGTTGGTGGCAGGGGCATGTTTATGTCGAAATGTCTCTTGCTCAGAGAACGTGCGTGATTACCTACTCTCCGGGTGGGGAATCACTGTTTCTATAGCAGAGTAGAAGGGTGGGCGGCATCATGAATGCGTTAATTATTGGGCCATACATTCCCATTATGATACTGAGAGCATGCGAGAATTTAATTAGGTACCGAGATGAGAGCAGGGATGAGAGGTAGAAAAATTTGTGAATCACTATATACTGATCTAGAATGGCAGTTTCGATTTTCGACCGTAGGAAGATGGGAAAATTTCAACAAGGCAATTTGTGTACACGATGCTTCGAATGCAGGTTGTGGTTAACGAATCCTCGATATATAGGCAATTTACTTGAGCTAGTTGATACCGAAGTGGTTGTGTTCGTCCTGAAACCATTTCAACCAACGCAACTTAAAGCATCCCTCCAGGCATGTTGGGATTTAGGTTCAAATATCGAGATACATACTCCATTCAACGCACTGTGGCACTGAAATCAGAGCGGATGCAGAGCCAGGTCCTTTTCCGGTCCTATCCGATATTTACACACCATCACCAGCGTAGGCAGAGCGACCAGAGCACTGAGAACAGCAAAAATGGTGGTAGGCTCGTGTCGTACCCGTACTAGCCAGTATCCAGTTTGCATCGCTTGGTGTGCATGGTTTTCGTTTTAATATCCCCTTTATGAGAACATTTATACGTTTTGATTAAGCCATTTGTTATGGAATCCTAATGGTACAGATTAGTGCTTCGTAAAAAAAAAGGCAACGGTTCATGCTAGCAGATGTAGTAAAGTGATAGTATGAAATTTAAAACAAAAATCCATTCGCTTAATAAAGGTGGTCAAGAGCATCTGTGCATATTGAAACGATGTTGCAATAGACCTCCACCACCTGACCAAACCCTTGTTTCGTAAGTTTTCCCCTGATTGTTTTTATTAATTCAGAGGCATTTGATTCAAACTGCTTATGTACCTCCTTCTGTACAATACGTATTTTGAAAACTACTCAGTATCTGTACAAATGACAAAAATTGTAGAATATTCAAAAAATCATACTATACAATCTATGAACATCAAACATCTTAAACAAACGCTTTAGGCACAGACAAACAGACATAACACATTGAATATTTCTCACTGTAAAACATCGTCGCTAAAACATTACCGCCATCTGTTGAGTACTCTGTGGTGGGTACTACGCTGAACAGGTAGCGGTAGTGTGTAAACGGTGGCGGTGGCGGTACTACCAACGACGATACTTTTAAATTGTCCATTAAATTCTTGTTCGACTTGCCAGTGTTATGTCTGTTTGTCTGTACTTTAGGCTTCAAATAATAAAAAAAAAAACTAGACGGAAAATAGAACATTCAACGAGCGCTTAATTTCGACGCCACATGAGTACTCTCAGCTTTGTGAACTTTTTGTACTTTTCGATCAATATAAACTGCATTGTAAAGGTAAACAAACACCGGAGACGAGCCATATTTCGAAAGTCATACCATGAGGACAATGCCCGACAGACAAAGTCCTCGAAAACTCTCTCCATACTAAACCATTTCGTTGTCTTCTTCCTTGTGTTGTCCAGCCTTACATCCGAACTGAATAGTAGTAGCTAGCTGTACATGCCAACTTACTCCAGTCAGCCAGACAGCGGTCCTCTAAATCAAGTTGAACGAATGAATGAATGAATGAATGAATGAATGGATGAGCAGGATCAGATCATATCTATAGAACACGCAAAAGGAAAAAAATAAAAAAGAAACGAAGCAAAACAAACTGAAGGAATCGTAAAAAACGGCTACCACACGATGGATGCGGACGCGGAGACAGCTAAAATGTATATGGTCTCTTTCGAAGCCCCCACCGGAGCTCAATCTCCTATCGATAATCTTCCAATCACCCTTCCATTCGCCGGATGCACGCGGACGAGGGTGGTTGTAAAACATTCGGCCCGTCAACTAAGACTATTCGGTTACTATATTTATATGTAGTTTTTGAATCCTTTGTTTTAGGATCCAATATTTGAAATGTTGCATTGGGGTTGATTTGACATATCGTATACCAAACTGTTCACAACATTGAGACTGAATTGAACCCGAGGCTAAACTCAAATTTCTTTTGTGAAATTTCGAGAGAAATTCCAAAAATGGAACATGCATAAATGACGTAGCATTTTTGAGGGTAGAGGGGGGTTTAGATTGTTTCTAACCATATTATTATTAAAAATAACAATATGCCTAAATGCAGTCCCCTTCGAGCGAGCACAGAGTGCGGTAGTGTTTGCGATGTGATACGCTTTCGGTTCTCGCTTTGTCTTGTTCGATACGGTCAGTCGGGGCTAGGTTTCTAGGTCACTTGCTTTAGTGCGTCGTGTCTCGATTGGTGACTTTTGTTGTCGAACGCTGGAAAAAAAAATGCAATATGGTGGAAGTGCAAATCCCACCATGATCAAAATTGCCAGATTTGTGAAGGCACTGGATGTGAATCCCGTTGACATGGATGCAACGTACCGTATTTCGGAGGAAAAGGCACTCTTATGTTCAACACGGAAAAAATCAATGAAGTACGCTTATATACGGGTACCAAGCACAAACGATATCATAGATGATGCGACCATACCGGATAGAGTTGGGATGACATCCCGAATTGGTGGCTTTTAGGGTTATTGTTTATGCGGGTATGCATTCCTTCATGACCCAGAGCAATTCATTTTCCATTATTTAGATGGAAAGGCAGTTGAGGTACGCATGTCAGTTGCGGGAAGCAGCGTGCAACCAACAGACGTCCCGGATCGTGATCTAGTGTTGTTGCTAGGGAAATACGGAAAGCCAGGCGTATCATCCGGTAGAAATTTCCTGTGGAGCTGGGCATCAACATGCATACAGTGGAGAAGGAGATACCATCCACGCTTCATTTCCTCAACATTGTCTACCGCACAGGGCTGGTAGTGGATATGTGGATATGATATAATAGTAATGACTTTAGTTACTAAAATAACAATAATAGTAACCAAAAGTTACTCTAAAACATAAAAAAGCTACAAGAGACAGTCCTATAAGCCTGTACGCAATGGTGACGTAGGACTACGTGGTTTTGTATAATAAATGTTATTTGTTAACTTCAGCAGAAGCTTGTGTTTTGTGTAAGACTAGGAATTTGAGCGGGATTCTTTCTGTTTATACTCTTTAGTATGACTATGATTGCCCTGGAAAGAACCTTTTGATATGAATTTTAGTTGGGACATGTTCAGAAATTTAACTCTATTGGAAAATCTTGGTTGCCCTGAAAAGGCCGATGATAGTATAGACTTAAAGCCTTTGGAAGATGATGACGACGTGTAGGCAGCTGGATCAGCAAATCGGACTGGTCAATCCCATATTTTTCGGTTCAATGATTGAGCACTCGCAAGAGTCTCGGCCCGTCTGCTGCTGGACAGGGGTTGAACTGGTGTCTGCGACAGGTTGGAAGGCCAATATCAGTGTCCACTCAGCTAAAGCTCCTCTCCTTTTTAGTTTTTCTCGTTAAACTCCTTCTCTCAACAAGTTGTTAAATCTTAGTCTTTAGAAGAAAGACGCTTAACACTTTTTTCGGTGTATTTATGATCCTGTTTCACGTCATGGTTCTTTTCTGTTTATCTGTTCAGATAAATTAGTACTTTTATTTATTTTTTCTACTGCGCTAAATCAAACGAGTAGAAATAAAAAGCGAGGTTACGCGCTCGCCGAATATATTTAATCAATTAGCTGGAAAAATCTTTGCTAGTTTTCATTGCTATGACGACGACTGAATTAAGGGGCTTAGAAGCAGAAGAGTGAAAGTCAATTCTCTTCGTCGATTTCCTCTTTTGATGATCATGGCTTCACTAACCTATTTCGCACTATTTCTGCTAAGCTCTTCTATCATTCAGAACAACAAACGTATCAATGAATGTGTTTGCCGTCGAGTTATTAACGAAACAGAAAGTCGATGAAGCTTCCAAGTTTGGTTACAAGACTTTGGAGAGCATTTTGTGGGGTCGTTGGGGGCATGTGGTTCTGAATATGGCGATGAATGTGCAAAATTTTACGCAATTGCATCCTCCCTATACGCACACGCCCGAA